AGAAATATCAACATTGACTGATTATATGGTTGTATGTTGTTTTTTTGTTTAAGTGGTCAATTTTGCAGCCCTATTTAAGCTATTTTCACGCTAGCTAAAGGAATATCCTGTTTCCCACCCCAGCCCCATCAAGTCCCTGTCTACTAAGACCCGTCTTCAGATCTTTTGCCTCACTGAAGAAGTGCGTGATTTTATATATTAATCAAAGTGTAATATATTAGTGTACAACGTTTTATTAATTAAAAATCGGATCAAAAGTGTAGGAGGTTTGAAATAATTTCACAGAAAGTTCTATTAGTTTAATAATCATTGCAACAAACCAAAAGCCGATACATAGAATTATTTATGCATCTTGTATGCTTTTTTTTGGACAAAAACTATAGAAAAATGTTACAAAGACACAGGCAAACAGCTAGTCTAATGGATGACAGACACCTTACCATTGCATTTAAAGCTGAATTGGTTGTCGACCAATAGAGCTGAATCTTAAAAAAATAGAGTTGATATGACTATATAATTCCATATATGACAGCCAATTGCTTAGCATCTGAAAACTGCTCACTGCATGTCACTGCTTGTAGATAGTATTGCATTTCAACTTACAAATGTAAAATGGAGTGGATCCAGGAAAGGAAAAAAGGGGTATTTCCTGATGAAAAAAAACTGAACCCCAGTTTTCCTGAGAAGCAAAGTAACCTACAGGCTATTTTGACGGGGAAAAGGGGGAGGGGGCTATTTAGGATAGAAAAAAATGGGAAAACAGAAAATCCATCTCTCGATTTTCTATATGTGTAGGGAAGGCCATTCATAAGTCGGGTTGGTGGGGTCGTTTACGTTAGGATCCTGAGCAACCCTATCCGATAAATGTTATACATTGTATTAGAAACACAACGGAAAAATCACACATATTGCTATGGCCCATGGGTATCATGGGTATATAATGACGTGAAATCTTTTAGCCTTTTATTTTCCAATACTGTTTCAAAATCACAAAAGCCCCTGGGAAACAATTTAAGTGAAAGGGCGGGGGGGGGAGGGGGGACAACCCAACAATAATCCCATAACAAGCAAAAACAATGAGCACCAGACGTTATAAATGAGGGGGCACAACCGTAAATAATCTTTGTTTTCTGTTGTATAGTAAATATGTTGGCAAAATTATGGGGATGTGGATGGAGGGGTGGGGGGGGGGGCTCTTTGAACCAAACCAAAATTTACAAATTTATAAAGGTTATGGATAATTGAGAAAACAGTAGGTCATGAATGTCTGAATTTGGTTTGAACATATTTTATTGTAGTTTCTAATTACAAAGGGATTGGGCACAAGTTCTAAAAACTTATTACGCCCTCTCCCTACATGTAAATTACAAAAATTAAATTATATTAAATTTGGTCACAGTTAAATATGTACATTCAAAATATTCAATATTAGTGAAAATTACAAATCAATGCATTTTAAAAAATCATACATATAATTTTGTATATACATGTATATATAAATAAATATATTTATAATAATACTAATACTAACATGTAAATCTGCCAGAATGTTTAATAAAAGTTTGAACAATACAGAAAAGACGTTCATTCTCCACAGCACTCAATGAATCTATCCCCATAATAAAACATGTGTATCTAAAATGTGAATTTTATCAAATAATAAAAATTTATCAAGAAATTCCTTTCTGGCTTCTTTATACTTTGGACATATAAAAAAAAATGATACGAATCTTCTTTTTTGCCACATGAGCATAAAGGACTTGAGATTAAATTACATCTGTAAAGGTCAATATTTAATGCACAATTATGTCGAAGTCTGGTCTGGAGAACATTCAGTCGCCTGTTACCATATTCAAAGTATGATGGTGGGGCAGATGTTTTAATACTTATTTTAGATTTAAAATTTGACAACAATTGTAAGTTTCTATTTTCAAGTGGTAATGAGTTCCATTCTTTAACTACAGTAGGAATAAACGATGACTTATAAGTCTGTAATCTAGATAATCTGGTACTAAATTATTATGCATTTTAAAAAATGTCTTTAACCTTGCTGTCTGTCTTCTACAACTAAGTGGTTCCCATCCCGTTTCGAAGTAAAGTGAATCTTTAGAGGCTATAGTTGTTAAACCTGTGACAATTCGTGCAGCATAAAGTTGCAATTTTTCTAGTTTATCGTTATCATTGTTTTGACAGCAGCCCCACACCACAGAAGCATATTCAAGTTGTGGTCTTATAAATGACGTATACATAAGGGAGAGAGATTTTCGATTCATTTTAAATTGTAATTTTTTTAATAGAGCCAATTTTCTGTAGGCACTAGCCAGTAAATTTTCAATTGTGATGACCAACTAGCATCATGAGAAAATAATACTCCAAGGTGTTTCTGCTCAGTGAAAAAGTCCAGTTGACATTGTTGAAAGAGAAGCTTAGGATATTCAGTATTTTTCTTTGTGCTAAAAATTATTGCTTTAGTTTTAGAGGTGTTGAATTTCATTAACCATTTTTTTTACCAAAGTTCCAGTGCATTAAGGAGGGATTCTTCTCATAAGAACACTTATTTCTTATATTTAAAAATCAATGAAATTTTCACAGAATCAAGAAGACAATATCACTAAGTGATGGTATCAGTTGGATTAAATTTGACCGTTTTATATTAGAGGCAAGGCCAAGTCAAGGTCAGTACCTTTTCCCTGGACATTAAGAATAAAAAAAAATACTGTTGCCAATTATGCAATGCCTACTTCCATTTCAATAAATTAAAGGGTTTTTTCTTTTTGCATAAAGAGATATTACCATATTGGGTCTATAAAATGATATTACCAAATTGACATAAATAATTTAACTAAAATGGATATTGGCTAATCCGAATTTTCTCTACTTTTCTTTAAATTTTAAGATATTTTAGTTATTTTTATATGCTTCCTATATTTAAATTTTTCTTAATTTCACCTATGGTAAAGGTGTCACATAAATATACAAAATGATATAAAAACAAAAAGTTTTGACCGTTTACTAAGAAAGAAAAAACACTTTTTACCAGTTTTTGGCTCAAATCTCAACTTAGATTGGAAGCTTTTAAAAGCTAGCATAATTGTAGTTTGTTTGGAAAATCATATTTATTTGATATATTTTAAAACTTTAGTTCCTTAACATTAATTTAACTTACGTTAAAAATGTTCTCCAAGTCTTTGATTGTGTAAAAATTATAATTAAATTCATTGTTCTATAATTTTTTTGAGAGGCAGAAAAGAAGATATTTTCATACGCCGCCATTCCGCCAAAAATATAGTCCCTGATAGATTTCAAACTCAGTTTACCATTTCTATTTAAAGTTGTGCAATTGTGATGAGGAAAGACAAATATGATCTTTTAAATCTCTTGCATCTAAATATATACAACATGTAAGCAAATATACTTTGAATATTTCATCTAGTCAGAAACCAGACAAGAATCCCTCCTTAAGATCTTTCAATAATTTTCATATTTTGAGACGAATGCTGCAAAGAATTGTCATCTGCAAATAGTCTACATAAAGTGATCATATTGTCAGCAACATCAACGTCTGAATTTGATGAAGCTACAACAGTTACTATACGTATTTGAAAATTCTGCATGCAGACAAGTGAATTTTTGTTATTAAAACAATGCCCAAATTGGCTATTAAGTGGAAATAAAACGGTCTATTGAACGTCTTATTAATTATGCATATAAATTATAATTTGTGCATCACAATCGATACAAAATGTTGTTAATTTTCATTTGTGTAAAATATCGCTTGACGCTAAATCCCCCGTGGAAAATGGTTAATTTGTATAGTTTCGTTATAAATAGGATCCAGAACTACATACATCTTTTCAGCTCCTTTACCATCCAATCCTGCTAATTCAGGACATGTGATTATTTACATGTGTACCTATGAATTTTGAATTTTGAAAAAAATGTTCGATACAAATTTTCTACATAATATGTGCTTTAATAGAGAAAAACTTTTGTGAGGATAAGCCGTGAAATACTCTCAGAATGCATCCTCTATTTTTAAAAAAAAATTATCAGGAGAGGTTACCTTCCTCGCCCTCCCAATTGAGCATCTTTGTCCCAACCCCCTCTTTCAAACTCAGTTTGCGGAGGCGCCTCTGGATCCGCCTCTGACTCCCTCTAAGCTATATCATTAAGAAACTTTTTTTTGTTTTTGTTTTTGTTTTTGTTTTTTTTTTTGGTTTTTGTTTGTTTGTTTGTTGTTGGTTTCTTTCTTCTTCTTTTTTTAATATAATCACTTGAAATAATCAAATGACCGTGAATCAAATCGACTACACATGCTCGATGAGGATTGAAGTATGATGCATATTTTGATAAAATTAAAATACTGCAGGAGAATCATCGTCAGATCAAGAAGGATGATTTAAATGTCGATCTGATAATCTATCTATACGATGGTTAGCAACATGTGTGTGAAATTTAACACCAACTGTCAAGTGTCATCAGTATACTCTCGAGTGTCCGTTCAATATTTTTTTTTTTCATGAGGTGTTTGGAAATATTTGTATACATGATGAGGAAATTATTCGAACAATTAATTTTAAAAATCTTTGTATGTGTTATCCATTGAATCCTTATTTGTTAGTACGAAATTGTTCTCATTTTTTGATTGATTTTTCATTAATATTGCAATATATATATGATTTGATTTTTTGTACGATTCTCTCTCCCAACTATCAATACCTAAAAGAATCAACATTTCTAAATTGTTTCTGGCGGAAAAATCTTTCTAATACATGTACATGTTAAGATTGTTTCCTATATATATATATATATATATATATATATATATATATATATATATATATATATATATATATATATATATATATAATGCAGGAATAAAATACATATTTATATAAACATTCTACAAAATGCATTTATTTATAGTTTGGGAAAAAATTTGATTATGACAAGGTCAGACCGCCGTACTATAAGTTGAGGACTCTTAGCTGTCGTGCATGCATGGCTTTGTACTGATCCTTAACGAAGAACCAAGTGGATCATGATTAAGCCAGATGTGAACAGTCAATTTTCGTAATAAAGGTAAGCATGTTTACTATATAAAGCAATTTTAATGTTTACTGGTACATACGTACGTCTTTACTTTCACAAATTCAAAAATCATCTCAAGATGCAGCTACCAATTTGAATTTAATAAAATCTTAAATAATTCTTATTACTGTAAGCAAAAAATGGAGAAAGTATTGTTAAGATATTTTTTCTGTGCATGCACTGTTTAGTAAAAATAATTAATATCTGAAATCTAAGGTGGGAGGAATTATTTAATAATCTTTTCCGTGACATAATATTCAGACACCAATCCAATATGCACCTTTTTGACACCTAAATTCTTGTTATTGTTTGACCTTAGGGAAGCCACCTTCACACGTCAAGGCATCAGTGACATTGTGTACGAAAAATCTCTTTCATACCTGTATAGTAATTAAATAGTTACTGATATTTATGTTAAATACACTTTGGGAAAAAAAATCGGAATTATATATGGGTTGATTTTCATTAACTTTTTGCTTCTTATCTAAACTGGGACATATGTCTTAAGTTACTCTTCGCATTATTAATGAAAGGTTTTATTACATGAATATTTATTGTGTTTGCGCATAATAAAGGCGACGCTCACACATCGTCACTATAACATCGTCACTGAAGAGTCACTGTGGTTTCGCTATGTGTAGGTGTGCGCTCCTGTTTGCCTGGGCGCCAACATGCACATCGTTTTCTGCGCGAGAGTCAGAAAGAGTTAAAATATATTAAAAAACAAACAAACGAAAACGAACATTTAAAGCAATATGAGCTGCATTTTTTTGTTGCAAAATTGTAATTAACTATCTCAATGACAGAAAAAAGAACGTTTATAAACTTATGTAGTAATATTTGCCACGGAAGACTATTTATTTGATTGAAGCCATATTACATTATTGTCGTCCTGTACAATATTGATTTCTTATATAATACTATATATTTGATTGTACAGAAACCTTTATCTGAAACAATTTGATACTTTATTTCTGTCTAATTGATCAAAAAGTTTTAAATTACATATAAATTTATCATAGTAACACATTTTAACAGCAAAATAAAATTCTCAAAAATGCAGCTCATATAGGTTTAAAACGAAATGACTGATATCATACTCGTTGAAAATAAAAGTCGTGTTACATTCAACAAAAACATTGATTAAATATCTTTTGTTTATAGATTTCTGAACTACTGACAGCCGGGAAAATGCAATATTTATACGCAGATGGAGCTTTTAAGCTACATGTATCTTGTTTCCAATTTAAACTCGAGAACCGGGGGGGGGGGTCCCTATAGCCCAAATCTCATCTAGGTTTTCATATAAAAAGGACCCCTATAGCTATGTACATGCAACATCTAGGTGTTTGCATCAAATGACCTCTATAGCTACGCACCTGCCTCATCTACATGTATGTGTTCATATCATATGACCGCTATAGCTATGTACCTGCCTCATATCAAATGAATCATAAAGCTACGCACCTACTATTCTATGTGTACTTATCATGTGACCCCTATATAGCTTCGTACCTGCCTTAATTAGATGATCCCTATAGATACGCACTTGCTTAACTAAGTGGTTTTTATTTAGTTTAACCTCCATAGCTGTTTCCTGCCTCATCTAGGTGTTCATATCAAATGACACCTATATAGCTAAGTACCTGGATTAAAAGAAAAAGGAGAGACAGTGGTTTGTCCTTCATCTTCACTAAGGATGGATGGTTCAAAGCATACATAAACTTTTATTGGTTTTGGATCCTTCCCCTTCCAGGCTTTACGTTAACAGAGTCCGCAACATCATTTCAAACTAAGAATAAATGCCTATGTAAGAAGTATTTAATATGAATGGTTAACCCTCAGTAAATCATCTTTTGAGCTGATGCCTATGTACTTACATGTACAAGGGCGGATCCAGGAATTTTTCTAAGGGGGGGGGGGGTTCCATATCCACTCCAAAAATCAACTCGGAAAATTTTCTTTTTAAATAAATTTGGGGGATTGGTTCAACGATCCATTTATCAGATATATCCTTTAAAGCTAGTGAATCATATTGCGTAGATGAAATGATGGTAATATAATCTCCTTCAGTTGGCATTCAATAAAGTATTGCCACATGTTACAAATCCCTTTTCATTGGGTTTGTTTTCTAAATAAAGAGTCGAGGTGGATTTTATTTCTGAAGTCTAAATATGATAAAATTATCTCACGTACACAAAACCAGCCACATATAAATTTGATGGATATAAATAAAAATGTCAGACATTTTACTGTACTTTAGAAATTGTCCTGTCAGCAAATGGTAATTTTATTCAAATAAATATTGATAGAATTGAAAAATAAAGTTAATATTAGATTTGGTGTTGAGTTGCATGTTGAAAAATTAAAAAGGTAGTTTTGTTGTCCCTTGCTATAGGAGAAAACATTAAATGATTTTTTTAGACAACCTCTTCTCCTTTTTTGTTTACATGGCCATAAATTCTACAAAATTTATTAACATGCTATAAGTTAGGGGGGAAATGCTGCATTTCTATTATTAAGGACTTGAGCATTTGCAATATCAAATGAAGTGATTTATACATTTATTGATTTCATTTACATCAGGAAAAAGAGGCCTCAATTATTGAAACCCCTCTACCCGCCCTGTCAACCCATGCATGATTTTCAAAATTCGGCTTCTTGAAATTAATTATACTTTTATAACCTCCTCCTCTATTCCCCCGCAACAAAACTACCAAATAGTTGTGTGTTTTTTCCTCGTCAACATTTTTTAGAAGTTAGGTATGGATCCTGGATCCGCCCTTTGTTTCTGTTGTCATTATACCCGCGCCCTTGGATATGTTGGATCGGCTCCTGTTACTTTGCAGTTATACCTACTGGAGATGGCCAGTCATCCTCTAATGGTATATCATATCTTTAGCGCATTTTATATCATTAGTATTTACTACACTCAAAGGTGTAGCCATTAAACATATGTACTAGTATCTCACATAGACTGTGTTCGGTTCCTTCAAGATTTTGTGAAGTTTAATGCAGGCATATACATTGCAGAATCTTATAGTGGTAAACTCATTCGAACACTGGCGGGTAGGTCAGTGACATAGATTTGAATCTTGTCAATAGGTTTTTTTTTCATTATCGAATATTTCAAGCAAAATTTTTGTCCTATTTTGAATGCAAAAAACAAATGCTGGCACGCCAATAATGATGAATGATTGACAATTTATTTTCAAAAAGGGCACCGCAAAGTGGAGCATCCCTTCGCAAAGGAACACATCGATCCCTGTAAAATTTATTACTTGCGTAACTTCCGTTACGCACGCATGCAAACCCCCCCCCCCACACACACACACACAAACAAGAGCGTAACTATACCCCATCCAACTTCTTGCGAGTGGATGAAAAGAACTTTGAATAGGGGAGGAGCACAAGCCTGGCTGTTCCGTCCAATTTAGCTACGCCCTCACAATTGGAACGAAAAAAAAAATACGCGCCTGGCACAATAAATAACTCCCACTTCACCTTAATTTAAGCATTTAGACAACCTTATTAAGAGAAAATATATATCGGCCTTTGCTTTGAGAAAGATTCTTTTGAAGACATTTATACTGATTTATATCTAGTTACTTTTCAGTTACTAGTATAAAATATGGTACAGAAAAATTTAAAAATAAAATGTGCATGCTTTCAATACCATACATAAAAATCCTCGAGCAGGTGCTTGTTTAACATCACTGAAAACTATACATATACTATCCGTGTAGTATAAGTGACAAACATTCAAACCACTTTACATCAATACTTTTCCTGCTTTGCACGTGTAGAAATATGATAGAATGAATGTAAGCACTCAAATCACGTTATCAGGTTATGTCCTCTAAACCCGGTAACTAAAAAATGGAGAACCCAGATTAAATACTAAGACAAATAGGGCTGATATCACGTGATCAATATTAAGAATTCATTTCGATGATAAGAGGAAATCTAAATCGATATCCATGTTTTCAATTTGACTTTGGACTTAAACAGTGGACAATGTAACAACGAATTTAATTTTCCATTCAACATTTTCTGAAATATAATTGTAAATTTATCATGGAGACCGAATATATAATTTTTTTTAATGTGTAAAGGTAAGTGAATTTTGCTTTTTTATATTTAGAATTAAAGTTTTAAAATATCTATTTCTTAATGTTAAAAATTTAGACTTTTTCGCATTCATTTCTTTTTAAGATTTTTTTTTTTCATTTCCTTCTATTTTTTTAACGTGAAATTATCACTAGCCTGATTTGCGTTTGTTTCTTTTTTTACCCTTAATTTCGAAGTTAACATGAATTTTGTGCCTATGCAGTACAAATGAAATAAGAAGCTTAAGATAAGGAACAGTAATCAAACTGCTGAAACAATAAAAAATGTAAGCAGAGCTTCACGGACCTCTGAAGGTATCAGAAATGGGATCAGGTGCAGTGGAGAAGTAAGCATGCCGCCGAGTGCTCTTTGCCATAATTGGGTAAACAGAGAAATCAAAGTAACATATTTTTAATTTTTTAAAAGGGTATGTACATTGATTTCTGGTTGGATTGATAGAGAGGACTCTGGAAAGGGGGGGGGGTTGTCTTTCGGATAAAATTTTCGTAACATCTTAAAATCAGTTTGTGAACCAAGCAAAAGAAGCCAAGTCGATCCCCTCCCCTTTCTTTGACGCTTTCTATGCCATTTGCAACAACTTAAATTCAACAGGGCATCTTTAGTCGAAGATCAAACAGTACAGAAAAATATTCATAGCGAAAAGCAAGGAAACAAACAAACAACTATGCCATAAAACACGTTCATAAACCCCAAGCAGCTTTTTATAGGTCTTTTTTTTTTGCACACGCATCAAGTGGTCAAGTGTTTATTTCGGTGATTGTACTGATGTCTTAATGTTTACCTCTAGAGCCTTTATCACTGCGATAACAGTATCAGAAACCTATTGAAGTGAAGCACTCTGATAACAGTCGTTCTTAGTCCAGACAATTGGCCGCTTTAGATATTAATATATTCATTCGCTGATAAACTTACCATTTGTAGATTAATTTCAAGTAAAAGTTTTGTTTTTGTGAGATTTTTATTGTTTAATCATGTCTTTGCTGACTCACACGTCCATATCATTGTCAAGATGGAGAGTTTATAAGAGCTAGGAAGTATAAGTTAACGATTATATCAACACAGGAAATATCTTAAAATACACGGAATTTATCGCCGTTTGCCGACGCAAAAAGCAGATTTAGTTTCCTTTTTTTTTAATATGCACACATTCTTTTTTCTTCGGACTTTGAGGAAATAGTATAGAGTTTTAAATATTGTATGTATATGTTTTTTCCTCCATTTTTTGACATAGGATAAAAGTAAAATAATTGTTCAAAGACAATGACATAAGTACCGTTATTGGTGAACAGGAAAAATTAAATGCAAACTAAGTTTTCAATTAATTCACGTAAACCTAATAAAATGTAATGTTTAGAATACTTGTGTGGTAGTGTAAGAAACACGGTATCCTACTAGATTTGGTTAGTGGGTTAACCCTTTATCTCGATTGGATGACCACTGGACTAGCATGCCAGCACTCTCTACCATCGGCTCATACATTCACCTCTGTTGTTGGCTCACGTATATCACAATAATAAGCACGAGAAAAAGTGCGTTTGTTTTAATTCATTATAATTGAATGTCTGAGCTAACGATAGTCCTTAAAGATAGATATTTACTAAATAGATGTAAAACTATTAGTTTAATTTGAAATAATCCTTGAAATGTTATGTTTTTTACGTTATGTCAAAAATCTTGACGCGAGCCCATTCCAGAGGTGTCTGAGAGAGGAACGAACGACAACTCTGCATAGGAGACTGGCATGCCAGAGGTATCGGGTTCCAATCTAAGCGAAAACACAAACCTGTCTCTGTTACACTTGAATTGATTACATTTGAGAAATGGCAGTGGATTTCCTTTTTTCCCTTTTAGATCTAAGACAAAATCACTCTTACTGCATAAAAAGAACTCTTTACTGCACATAGAGGTTCTTAACTAAAAACTCATTAGTTTTAATCCCTGAGTCATTTGGATGTTTTACCCTTGCTTTGTTGGTTGTATTCAGACCAAACTTTGGAATCCTGATGCTAGTGACCTTGAGATATGCTACATACATGTATAAATTTACAATGTTGCCCAAGTCATCAAGTCCAATATCACCTGTTAATGAGATACTGAATGCTAGGTCAGACCATAACATATATTATATATCGAAGAAACATTTAAAAGGTAGTAGCACTATATCGTTGCCATCAACTAAGATATGTAATGGTCTTGATGTGATATCGTATATTCAAGCAAGCAATAGGGCAAGGAAATTGTATGCTTACATATACATTCTTGTCCCCGTAATTCTGACCTTGTTACATGTATTAATTTGTAGAAGTTGAAGATGTTTTAATTTTTTTTCGCAATAGAATCTAGTTGAATGGAGTGTCAATATCTTGATTCTTTAAAATTCAAACATTTAGGATTTGTAACCAGAGATACAGGCGCGTATGTCATGATTTAGAATTTAAAAAAAAAAATATGATGTTCAGGACTCTTACAATGGTATATAAAGGAGATTTACTTATCACGAGGAGGATTAAAGTGTTTTTAACCTTTTTGCCACAATACCCCCTTTCCCCTCCTTGTTACTGGAGAATCAATTTTTTTATATCATGAAAAGGAGTGTAGGAATAATTTAATTAAGCGTATATACATTCACTTAGTGAAGTGGATCAAAGTATTCCGTATGAAGTCTGTCTTACTAACTCCGACTCTTATTTTCACTGTTTGTCACTGTCAGCGAGATTTTCTTGATTTTCATTTTTTTTTTGAATAAATTTGTTTATTTTCCTGATTTAAAAATTGACGCTAAATTTAAATGATATTGAAATTCTCAACCCCATCCATTTCCAAACTTAGAGAAGATAACCATTCATAATTATGAATGCACATTCTACTTTCTGCATTTAAAATTAAACAATCTTCTATACACACATTATATAATTTACACGGATTACTGAGGGTACAAGTTCACCTGTATTATGTGCCTGAATTATTTCAATTGCTTGTATCCATAAAAACCTGATTCTTAACAGGTATGCAAATATCATGACTAGTCGTATACAACATATATGGCATGCTGCGGGGTCTTCTTTTAAAAAGCGCCTGAAAGATTTAAACTCCGTAACTGCATGTGTATTTTTTTTTGCGACGTCTTGTCAAGTCCATATTGTTCACCTGAAGCGGATATCAGCAATTACAATGTAGCTCTTCATGGGAGGCTCGAAATATTAGATATGGTGATAGCTCATTTTAAATTCTATACGAACATTCATTTTACAGACTCAGTATACAAAGAAAAATAATTCCTTTCAAAACAAATAATCCCAAATCTCAGATTAAAAAAAAACAAACAATAAAATGTTTTAAATTTTGTTGAATACAGGGAAACTGCTCCAAACAATAACATATTTGTTCAGTAAAGAAAGACACGGAAATACCTATACTTCTTTTTTGTTAATATTCTTTTCTTCTTAGGCACAGTTATGATATTTAACAGAGTATTATCAATGAAACATAATTATAAACAATATAGATATTGTACATAGATAGTTGACTGACTTATTACAATACTGTATACCTGCCATATATACTCCCTGATAACGAGCTATCTCCCCAAAATGGCGTAATAGCCTTAATGGCTTGGTCTGTAGATTTTTGATACGGACTGAAACATCGCCCTGATGTCAACCTTGGCTTCAAACATTTTCTTCCTATTTTCAGTATCTATTAAATAATTTTACCTAATGTTGGTATTCCTAATATAGATCCTTTTTACTGGTTGTTAAATAAAAAAAAAACCATTTAAAATAAATTAGAATAGCAAAAAATTGAGGAAAAAAAAGAAAAGAAAATGTAAAAGATTGAAGACTTGGTCTAGCCTTTAATGCCAGGCCAGAAATTACATTATACCTTTTGTCTTCCAGATAATACAAAAATGGCTATGAATGAATTAAATGTCTTTCATTCATTGCGGACGTTTTTCCCCAAAGGAATAGATACTAAATTTTTAACCACATGCAAATTTTGTGTTTTTCAGATTGCAGCAACTCTGAGATTCTATAATGGCGAATTATCAAAAGATAAAACGTTTCCTGTACCTCCTTTGTTTCTGCATCGGGACTTCATGGTACATCGTGCTAAAATATTACTATGATAATGTGGAAATTACATATTATAATGCAAAATCACATCTGGCTTGTGTTTTGCCCGAGAATTTAAATCCATTTGATCCAGGTGTGATGGGGTTTATTTGGGATGTATCACCTATAAAATGTGCTAATTGGCCATCTCTTGTTTATGTCGATTCTCAAGGACTTTTACAGAAGAACAATACAGCGATGTTTAATTATGCCAAATCACGTGATTTGGCCTGTACATATCAAATTGTGACTAGGAAAAAAGGAGACATGGAAGTAATTATGGAATCGGAAGTGACGTTTACATCTGGCGACTATGTTCCGTCTGATTTCTTTTACGTTGTGTGTAAAAGTGCAGACGGAAAAATTGTATATAGTAATATGCATCATAGTATCAATAATAGGAATACATTACGAAAGAAAAAAATGATAAATTATGAGGAAGAAAAATTTAATATTTTTATTTATGGTATTGATGCAGTATCTAGACTGCATGCGGAAAGGAAATTGAAAAAGACAATGAAATACCTGAAAAATAATATTGGAGCTTATATATTTGAAGGATATACGAAAATTGGTGGAAATACTTTCCCTAACATAGCACCACTTTTGACGGGTAAAGCCATATATGAACTTCCAAGCACGAAGGATTTTCTTGATGATTTTCCTTTCCTCTGGAAAAATTTCTCAAAACGAGGTTATGCAACATTTCATGCTGAAGATTGGCCAGAAATTTCAACTTTTAACTCCGGTTTAAAAGGATTTAATGAACAACCTGTAGACCACTACATTCGACCCATGTTTCTTGCATTCGACAAAGTATCATTTTACAAAAATAAATTAGACCAAGCACATATGTATCTTGCCGATAAGGGTATTCGAATCGGCAACCAAGGAGGTCTTTGTTTTGGCAATAAACCAAAGTTTAGAATCATCATTGATTATTACAAACAATTCATTGAACGGTATGGAGACAGGCTTAAGTTTGGTTTAAGCTGGAATAATGAACTCTGCCACGATTACCTCAATAATCTTCAACTTGGAGACGATGATATTTTTCAATTCGTACACTGGATGCATACAACAGGTAGACTGAATAACTCGGTATTTATTTTCCTAAGTGACCATGGATACTTAATGAATGAGATTCAGAATACTTTTGTGGGTAGATTTGAAGCACGTATGCCCCTTCTTGCTATATCCATACCCCCTGTTCTGAAGGATAGATATCCACATATTCATGACAATTTGCTGAAGAATACAAAGCGGTTAATAACAGTGTATGATATTCATGAATTTTTGAAAAATGTTTTGCTCAGTAATTTTTTGCCAAAAAAGAATAAGTTTACAAACGTTTTACCACGAGGAATTAGTCTTTTTCAGGAAATTCCCAAAACTAGATCTTGTAAAAGTGCTTATATTCCGGAACATTTTTGTCCGTGCTATTCTTCTCAGGAAGTGGAAGCTAGTGATCCTACTGTTCGAGAAATGGCCCTTTTTATTACTTCTAGACTGAATAAAAAATTACAGCACCTTGTACCAAAGTGTGCTGAGTTAAAATTGAAAAAGGTTAATAACGCCTCAGTTGTTGACTCAAATCTCGTCAAGACTCCCTCGAGATTTACATTACGTAATCTCATGTATCGTTCTGATATTGACGGCAGACTTCAACAGAGATTTATTATTTCTTTAACAACAATCCCTGGAAACGCAAAATTTGAATCGACGGTGGAGAGAGATGATTCCGGTCATATGACAATTTTAGATGACGTCATCACTAGAACAAACATGTACAAAAACCAGTCTTCATGTATAAAAGAGAGGCTTATGAAGCCATTTTGTTATTGCTCTAGTCAATAATTTTATAGCACACATAAATGTATTATATTTATCACATACAACGGATATAGCTCATAGGATATATTAATTTTTCATATCCACGTGCACAACTGTGACGTCAAAGTTTTTTTTTTCGTGAAATTGATGTCAAATCTTGTAGATTTACATATTATATAAAACAGTGTTAAACATGAAATAGCTAATAGATGTGTAACACATGTGATAAAATGAATCCCTCATGGTTTATAGTTAGTTAGATTTTTTTTTCTCCAACTAGTTGTGTGTTTATTCCCTCGCCAAGACTCGGGGATAAAACCACACAACTAACTAGATAAAAAAAAGCCCAACCAGAAACCATGGGTGATCATATATATATATATATATATATATATATATATATATATATATATATATATATATATATATATATATATATATATATATATAATGGTAATATGATATTACACGGTGCTGTAATAGGGTAAAAGAAAGCATCTATCATGTATCATCTTTGACTTGCCTTTAGGAGTATCTTTTTTTTAATTTAAAGTTTTCTTTACTCCTTATCTTTAATTAGCATCTAATAGAGAAGTGTACATTAATCTGAATTCTCCTAATTTATTATTTGGACTACATTTGTGAACTATAAATACTAGATTTATGAAATGTTCCTGCTTGATCGTGTTCCTGGCGAACTCTAAACATGCTCAACTTTGTCATGTTTGTTCATTAATGTGTTGGTAAAGCATTTTTTTGCACATTGAGTGTTTTGCTTTTTTGATGATTGATGTTTTAAATTTTTGTAAATATTGGCCAACATTTTTGCCCTTTTTATTTGATCTATCAATGCAACTAGAATTAAATACTCCTTCATATTTTAGTATGTTTAGTATATTATTGCATGATTATGTCTTTAACCTTCTTTTAGCACACCAATACACTGTATGAAATGAGTGTTTTATATATTTATTATTTTTCTGTATACTTTTTATACTTTTCAGTTTAAATTCTTATAAAGATTTTATTAACTGACAAGGTGCTTGTTTATAATGTATTAATGTAAAAGGTTGCTCCTATATATAATTTTTATATATTTATAGCTTCCTAACCTACTTAAATGTGTCTGTGTGGCTTTGACTAATTTTTTTAATTTTTCATTTCTTTATGTACAATGTACATATTTGTGAATTTAAGACAAAACCTTCGAACCCTGTCATATCTTTAACAATCAAATACAATATTAAATGTCTGTCAATCTTTATTTTGTAATGCATTTCAAGGACAAAGAGATGGTAAACCTTTACATACAATGATGAACAAATAGAACATGAATTTTGAATGCATGGTTAACTTGACGTGTGAATATTTTACGCATTCTTTGACGAGATAGAATGCAACATGTGGAATAAACACACAATGCCCGGTTATCTTGCAAAATCAAATAGAACAAATTAAAACAAAGGATTTTAAATTTTGTAAGCTGATCGACTTGTCCGATTAGTTAAACTAGTCTATCATGATGTAAAATAGCACGCATAGTAATTGTTTATCGACGCTTAGTGATGACCATACAATGATAACTGCATAATTGTCAAAACAAATAAACTATCACATCGAAATTGTGATCTTCAACTCAGTGTTTTCCAAATGTACCTAAGTTTTAATAAAAATCAGACTAAAAAAGTAAAAATGAGAGTCGTACGGTTATGAAAGGGTATCTAGTGTAATTCAATTAATTTTAATGGAAAAATTAAATCTCCGTTATTAAATTGATAGAGAAACAAACATTAAAATATGGAAAATACAAAGAATAAATTATTTTATTGATGTAAGACATTTAAGGTGAATTTTATTAAAAATAAATTCTACTATTATAATAATGTCTTTGTTTGTCTCTTTTTTTTTCTCCAAAGAAGATAAAATAGCAAATATGAACCGTTAATTCGGTCAATTCATAGCCATAGATAAAGCATATCTACCGAGGACGAAGTGACGTTCCAATTCTCGAAAGGACGGAAAAATTATTACCGGTGTCGCATAATTTACGTTCCGGATACTTCGCGTTCCGGCCGGAACCTTAAAATCATAATATTGGTTCCGGATTTTACTGTAAGTTTGGTTCCGGCCATGGCTGCAATCTTCGAATCGCGCTATCTCTCAATTATTATCTATCATTCTACACTGAACCATAGAAGTAGTTTTTTCCTTGAGGATTAAGCATGGCGCAGCGGCATGCCATTTTCATGTGGCGCAATGTTCTTTTTATAAGGCGTCATGCCTTTTTTGTACAGCCATTTTTAAAAATAAATGAATAAATAGCTCAAGTAAAGATCGTGAAATACGCTTTCTGATACATATTCATCGAATAAAATTTCGTCGCATGAAAGGCTTTGTTTATCTAATGCATACAAATTAAGTCCCTTTGTTTATTTAGTGCATGTCAGGTGTGAATTTCTCGCTTGAATGCACACAGACCCGGTATTTACAGGGTAAAGAGGATAGAAGATAAACTAGACTGAGATTACACAAGCCTAAAAAGAAGCACAATGTCAAAGATAAATTTGATCAGTAAATTTAAATTTTATAATCTGATAAAGTAAAGAATTAAATACAAAATGGTATATGTATTTACAGAGATGCGCATTCTCTGTTTAAATGATATTACAAGTGTCGCAAATTCCACAATGTCGAACCTCGAATACATGGCTTCCGTTCCTCATAGATATTATCACTCCAGGAAAATATGATTTATATTCCATTAGAAATAAACAAACATAAAAAATATACGCAGGTAGTTTAAGGCTTCCCGTAGAATATTACACTGCACTCTGTGCCTTCACATCTCTGAACTACCAAAATATGACGTCATAATGGAAAATGACGTCAAGTCACTGCAAACTTGAGGTGTTATGACGGGGAGAGTGTCATGAACTTTACATTTTATTTCAAACTGCATGTAAAATGCTAGATAGCTATTGCAAAATTCACGGGTCGTTAAATTTTTTTTTAAGTCTTATATGTCCGAATATTCTAAAAATACACCACTTACCTACCCTTGATTGAAATTCAGCATGTTCAAAATGCTTATGAAAAATATACTTTTGAAATGTACTCTGTTTTATACCCGTGGTTGGAGGTAGAATTTATTTTATGTGTATAAAAGAGTCTGGCGCAGGTGATTAATGAGGATTAATCTGAGAATTTTTGTGGAAATCTGTAAGAAGAGGTTGTTCTCTAACTGAATCTTGCTTGGGAAAAATGTGTGTTGGCTTTGTTTTAATACAGATTATGATATTGTGTGGAAAATACCCTCAAATTTGTAGGTAAGTTGAGTTTCTCAGGAAATATTTTGTACCCAAGTAATACCATGACTTTTCCCAAGCACATTTCGGATACACAAGGATACGATGAGTTTATTTATATAACAAAATGTTAACAATTATCGTGTTAATCAGCTGCGCCGAAGCGATGTATATGGAACACTTCAAAAAATTATAAATGACCGTCACGTGATCAACAAAGTCATGTGATATCATAACAAATATGTTAATATATAGCCGAGAAAACCCTTTATATAAATTGAAAGTACTAAAGTACAATACTTATAAATTAAAACCAAAACCGACCTCGCAATGACACATTATGTTTTGAGCGCATTTTAAAGCTTCGGGAAGCCTTAACATAGCTGCGTAATTCACTGATGAAGATAGTTATATAGTTTTTGTGATAAATTAACAATGGATATTTCATGAATATGTGGTTTATTCTGCAATGAAACAAACATGAAAACATAACGATATGGTTTATTCCCTTTGAATAAACAAACACAAGTAATTAATGAAAATTATGTTGTTGTTGTTTTTCAAAGACCGTAGGAAGGGAAAAAAAAACAAGGTTGAAATATGAAAAGTAAAGACCAGCAATGTTGATTGTAAAAAAAAGCAGTGAGATAAACTGAATTAGCTCAAATATTTTAGTAAAATCAAGGTTTTAGCAAATCTTAAATGTTTTTTTTTATGTTTTAAATTCCTTGAAATGCACTTTTCTGTTACTTCGATGCATGTCCTACCCACCCACCACTTAAGATATTTGGGAAATACCTTTTATTCCTTGGTGTTTTTTATACATGAAACACAATAAGAAAATGACAATTTTTATGACACTTCAGGCCCGTAGGAAGCAATTTCAGTTTGGGGGGGGGGGGGGGCACAGCCATACATTTTCAGCTAGGGGGCACTATTAACTACCAAAAATTCCTTGAAAAGCAAAAAACGTTTTTATTGAGGGGGCACAAGCATATATTAGCTTTGTTTTCAATAGTATTATATAGTACTATATATATCGGCAAAATTATTGGGGGGGGGTCACCCCCCCCCCGTGCCCCCCCCCCCGGTTCCTACGACCATGCACTTTAAAACTTTATCGTTTTATACATACCATTATGTTTAATGAATATCAAAATTTGTGGAGAAAAAAATTCAAATATATACATGTAGGCAGAAGTCAAGCTGCAATAATGTAACACCCCTCCATTTTTTTAAAATCTCAGCCCCCTTCCCCAAATTTAAAAAAAGGAGGAGGTTATAACACCTCCAAAAATTAAAAAAAAGTGTTAGTTAATTATCTGAGCCCCCCCCCCCCCAAAAAAAATGGAGGAGTTTAAATTATAGCATCTGCAAAAATGTAAAATTGTTAATTCATTTTTTTATCATATGCAAATTAAAAACAATTATTATTCCAGGTTACAATTTCTGAGAATAATATCAAACATTTTTGTTTCCTGTTCATTGTATTCCACCTTATAAAAAGATAATAATAAAGTATTTTCAAACATTTTTGTAACTAAGTTGTTTCTGTTCCACTTTATAACGAAGATAAAGTAGCCTGGAACCATAATTATGGTCATAATTAACGTTCCGGGTTACAATTGCTGAGAGTATTTTCAAATATTTTTGTTACTAGGTTGTTTCTTTTCCACTTTATTACGAAGATAAAGTAGCCCGGAAAAAAAATTATGGTCATAATTAACGTTCCTGGTTACAATTGCTGTGTATTTTCAAACATTTTTTGTTACTAGGCTGTTTTTTTTTCCTCACTTTATTACGAAGATAAAGTAGCCCGGAACCAAAATTATGGTCATAATTAACGTTCCGGGTTACAATTGCTATGTATTTTCAAACATCTTTTGTTTCTCAGTTGTTGTTTTTCCACTTTATTACGAAGATAAAGTAGCCCGGAACCAAA